TCTGTCAGCCCTGGAGGCCATAGTAAGCTACTTGGATTGATTCCAGAACTATTAGGAGCTGTTGGAGGCTTTCAAGCAGCTGAGTGAAGTGCTCTTGTTGACATTTTAAAAGGACCATCTGGCTGCTGTGAGGAGAGTGGACTGCGGAGGACCAGGCGGCAGGAAGGGAGTGAGGCTCCTGCTGCAGGTCCGAGGGAGGGCTCCAGCCCCACGCTCTCTGCGCTGTGGAGATTGGGAGAACTGGGAGGCTTTGAGACACGTCTTAAAATGGAACTTGCTGAGAGACTGAACATTGAGGGTAGCGAACATTGAGGGGAAAAGGAGGAATCAAGGATAAAGTCTTGGTTTAGGGCAGGAATGTCTAGGTAGCTGGCAGTGTATCATTTGCTGAAATGGGGAAGATTGAGGAGGAAACAAGAATTTTCTTTGGTAGCGAGGAAAGAAATCAAAAGTTCGTTTGGACACAGTACCTGAGATGCCCATTAGGCATCTTGGTGAAGATATAAATAGGATGTTGGAGCTCTGGGAAGAAAACAGGCTGTATTTCGGAAACAGTGGCGTGTAGATGCTGCTTAAAGTCATGGAAATACGGGAGTCCACCCAGAAAGAACCTGTAGGTAGAGAAGAGGAGTAGTGACCAAGATTTCAGGGGCCAGTCAGAGGACGAACCAACTAAGAAAACGGAAGAAAGCCAGTGATGTGGGAAAGAAACGAGCACATGTAGTGATGCGATGTCAAGGAAATAAAAGTTGTTCAAGGAGAAGGGAATGGTCAACTCTGTGGAATGATTTAGAGAGTTTGAGTAAGATAAGGACAGACAAGTGACCATTAGATTTGGCCAGGTGACCTTGATGAGCACAGTTTCTGTGGAATTATGGGACAGAAGCCTGTTTGGGTGAGAAAGTGAAGACAGTTGCAGTAGACCATGCTTTTGAGAAATTTTGCAGCCTTAGGAACAGAGAAATAGCAGTGCAACTGGAAAGGCGTGTGGAGGTTAAAGAAGGGATTTTTCTTAGATGGTGGAGATAGATGTGCTGATGGAATGACCCATCAAGTAAGGTGAGAGACCATGAGGATGAGGGCTGGACTGGCAGGATAATCACAGGAGTTTTGTCCTTGAGAGCGCGAGATGTCTGGGCTCCAGAGGCCACGTGGGCAGGTTGGCTTTAGATAGGAGCGTGGACAGTTCATCCGTTGTAGCCACAGGGAAGGCAGAGAGATACGGACAAGTCCGGTTAGGTGGGGAGATTCAGGCGTGAGAAGATGAGATGTATGGAGTCACTGTGTGTTAATTGCCTCAAAGATACAGCCGGTGAGGTCAAGAGCATGGAGTGGGGTGGGCTGCTAGAGATTTGAAGAGAGACTGGAAAAGGGTACAGTAGTTTTGGAGACTCAGAGAAAAGCACATTACAAATAAATGGAGAGGGAAATGGGTGGATAATACACCCTGGAGAGAGTGAGACCACCACACTGCATGTCTGTGTGCACATGTACACGTGCACACACAACCCCCAAGCAAAGGACCAGAAGACAGACTTCACAGCTAATGCAGCACAGAACGGTCTGCACAGCAGCCAATGGGCTGAACTTCAGGTGGACAGAAGCGTCTCCACACGAAGAAACTACATTCTAAACTGAGGAGAGTGGACTCGGGACCAGCTCATTCTCCTCTAGCTTTAGACACACCTTCCCCTGTAGACTGAAGACTGCTGAACAAATCACACTGCAGTCTGTCCCTCCACCCACGGACGTGATGATTGGGAGCAGTAAGAGCGAAGGCAATATTTCTAATGCTGTCAGGGAGGAGCCTGAAGTCCTTGGTGAGGCATCTGGAGAAGTCGGAGCGAAATCAAAGGGCCTGAGGTTTTAAAGAGAGAATACAATTCTCCAACTTCCTTTATATCAATCCGGTTAGCGATAGACCTATACCTACAAAGAAAAGTGTGCTGCACAAACTGACTGGTTTTAAACAACACAAGTTCGTCACCTTACAGCTGGGGCAGTCAGGAGTCCAGATGGGTTGACAGGAGGGGAGGATACGTGTCTTTGCCTTTTCCGGCTCCTGCCAGCCACCTCCCTTCCTTGGCTCGTGGCCCCTTCCTGCAGCTTTAAAGTCGGTGCTGGAGCAGCCTCACCTCTCCCCCCACCGGACCTCAGCTTCCCTCGTTGCATCCCCCGCTCCCCTCTGTCCTGCCTCCCTTTCCCCCTAAGGACCCTTGCCCTTATGTTGGACCCAGTCATATAATATGGGATAATCACTTTATCTCAAGATCCTAAACTTAATCACTCCTGCAAAGTCCTTTTGGCCTGTAAGGTAACAGTCACAGGGGTGGAGCATTAGCGTGAGGCCGTCTCGGCCAGGGAGGGAGCATCATTCTGTCTACCACAAGGAGCCTCCTGCTCTGTTTGCCAGTGGGACCTTTTCCTTAGTTAAATAACGTCGTTAAAAAATAAACAAACAAACAAAACCCTCCTGCTTTGTTTGTAAAACTGCATCTTCAGAACTAATTTATTTGAACAGAGGCACCAGAGACCTTCCCCTCTGTTGTCTTTGCTCTTCCCCACCTACGTACGGGGCTGTAGCTTGAAATGAAAACCCCCTACTTGCCTGCACCGGCCATCTAAAGCTTTTTGCTTTCATCTAACGTGTAAAATAATAGGATCCAGCGCTCTTTACAAAGACATTCTCTCTCTGAAGCTCTCAGATCAAATGTGAACAAGGTATGTTTTCTGTTTCTTCATAGAATTTCTTTTGCATTTTAGATATTTGAGACTTGGACCTCTGCTGCATAAAACATTGAGAGTAGACATCCCTTCCTAAAGTTTACGATGTAGTTAATTTAGCAATTCACATCATCCTTATGTAGTAAATTCCCAGAAAACGTTGATTAATCTAAGACTGATATTACACGTTTACAAATTCTGTGTTTAAGAGTGAGTGTGGCCCTGGCCGGTTTGGCTCAGCGGTTAGAGCGTCGGCCTGTGGTCCCGAGAGACCCGGGTTTGGTTCCCGCTAAGGGCATGTACCTCGGTTGCAGTTTGTCCCCGGCTCTGATCAGTCGTGTGGGTGGCAGCCACTCGATGTGTCCCTTCACGTCGATGTTTCTCTCTCTCTCTGTTCCTCTCTCCCCCTCCTACTCTACCTGAACAAAAAATGGAAAAATGTCCTTGGGTGAGGATAAAAATAAATAAATAAATAAAATTTAAAAAAAAAAAAAAAGAGTGAGTGTGGCCCTGGCCAGTTTGGCTCAGCGGTTAGAGCGTCGGCCTGCGGTCCACAGAGACCCGGGTTCGGTTCCCGCTAAGGGCATGTACCTTGGCTGCAGTTTGTCCCCGGCCCTGGTTGGGTCGTGTGGGTGGCGGCCACTCGATATGTCCCTTTCACATCAATGTTTCTCTCTCTTCCTCTCTCTCCTTCCTGCTCTATCTGAGTAAAAAATGGAAAAATGTCCTCGGGTGAGAATAAAAAAAAAAAAAGAGTGAGTGTGCACGGACAGAAGGCCACGTGTGCTGAGACTCTGCCCCAGGTGCTTAGGGAAGATTCTGAGGTATAACTTCAGCTTTGTGGCTTTGAGGACGTTATGTTCCCTCCAGAATGTCACTTGGCTCCCGTGTAAACAGCAACTAATTATGCTGCTTTCCTTGGGGGGGGGAGGGGTAGACCACCTGATTCTTGTTCACAAAAAGCTTTATAATAAGTACCAAGCATTGCCCCCAATTAAAATTTGGCCTCCCATACTTCATCTATGCCTCTACAAATGTCCTCTCTGTTTTCAATTAGATTTGATATGCCTCATTATTTCTCATTTAGAATCATGTTTGAATTTTGCTTTCAACCGTTTTATATTCATTTAACTATAACACGGTCTTTTTTCAGTTCGTGAAGAGATTTCTGTTTCTATCCCATCAAGCTTATTCTTGTAAGAAAAGTACTATTTGGAAATTTAAAATTCTCTTGATCCATTGGATGATATGTGCGTGTGGAGAGATGCCCCAGGGCCAATTCTTAATCATCGCGCTGGTCAGAGTTCCGGTTGGCGCAGGGAGGGTACTTTCCTAAGGGGCCAGTAAGAAGAGTTATGTGGGAATGGCTAAGAGAAACCACAAAGGAATAATAACCTAGCTGGGAGCAGAAGGGCATCCTGTACCCACCTACGTCTCAGAGGGCAAGAGGAGGGGGTGTTGCCAGAACCTGACAAGATCTCTGCCTATAGAAGGGTCCAGGGGATGAGCACACCCAGGCCCAAACCTCTACCCTGCCAGGGGGGAGGGAAACAAGGGGAACATCCTGAACCCTGCCCCCGCTCCCTGTTCTCTGCCAGTGCTGCCTTGATTCAAACCCAAGTGCAGGCGTCCGCAGGGGTCCCTTCCTGGCACACAGTACGGTGGAGTGTGGAGAGTGGTCTGTAGAAGCAAACAGAAGTGCACACTGTCCGCAGGGGTCCCTTCCTGGCACACAGTACGGTGGAGTGTGGAGAGTGGTCTGTAGAAGCAAACCCAAGTGCAGGCTGTCCGCAGGGGTCCCTTCCTGGCACACAGTACGGTGGAGTGTGGAGAGTGGTCTGTAGAAGCAAACCCAAGTGCAGGCCATCCGCAGGGGTCCCTTCCTGGCACACAGTACGGTGGAGTGTGGAGAGTGGTCTGTAGAAACAAACAGAAGCTCCTCAGCACAGTGGTCCTTTGGGAAAAATGTCCCAAGTTAATTTATCTTGGCCTTCAAATTTTGGTTGTATGTAAACACACTTAGGTCCTGAACCTTTTGGTGCCAAGCATCTTTCTTGTCAGCCCCGCTCTTGGTGGGCTTGTTGCCAGTGGCAGTGTTATTGGTGGCACTGAGCTGGTCACTGAGGCTGATGCCCGGGTCAGCTCGTCCTTTTGTGAGTAGACAGGTCTGACTAATGAATTCGAGATGCAGACACCACAGTGCCGGTGGAGTCCTCGGTTCCCCAGCAAGCGGCCTGAGAGGCGCGCTCCCTTACTCTTCCCATCCTCCTTTCCAGGGTGGAGCTTCAGCATGGGGTCGGCCTACCAGTTTCACAGCTGGCGTGTGTTTGTGATCGTCTGCGCCCTCCCCTGCGTCTGCTCGGTGGTGGCCCTCACGTTCATGCCTGAAAGCCCGCGGTTCTTGTTGGAGGTAACGCTTGTATTACCTATACTCAAGGAAGCCACGTACGTTGGAAAGACTTGCTTGTTAATTCCAGGAAAGTATGTTCGCCTCTTTGGGAAGAATAGTTTTCCTTCCTACTGTGGAGGGTTTGGAGACACGCTTCCAACAACCAGCATGTGAACAAGCTGCCTTGTGGGCAGAAAGCACTGATGTTCCCCCTCAAGCAATTTACTGTGTGCTTAATGGAGAGGACATGGCTTATGGTTTCATAAATGCATTTTACCGCCCAGGGGTGCTGTTTCTAGTCACAGCACAGCCATTGAACTGCTGAGGTACCCAGGATACCCAGGTCGTCTGTAGTTCCAGGGGGACATACCTAAATGCATGTGCACCATTGCACCCAATGTGATCTGACGATTCCAGATGGTATTGGAAATCAGGGGGTAGGAGTGCTTCACCTCCTAGCACTTCACTGTCTATTCACATTTGTTAGGTCGGAAAACATGATGAAGCCTGGATGATTCTGAAGTTCATTCATGACACCAACATGAGAGCCCGGGGCCAGCCTGAGAAGGTCTTCACGGTGAGCACTGGCCCTCAGGGAGGCATCGGGCCGGAAACTTTTCTGAAAAGGCCAGATTGTAAATCCCTCGCTCTGTCCCTTCCATTCCTTGTACTTCGCACTTACCTAGGCCGGCCACACTGCTGTTGAATGTGCTGTTCCCTCTGCGTGAATGTCCTTAGATTCTCTTCTTACAAAGTTTGTTCTCAATGGGGAAAGCCAGTCTAAACGAATGAAAACTGGGTGCCTGGAATATTTTTAGAAGGAACATGGTTTTTAAATCTTTTGATATATGCAGCATAGAGTTAGATGGAAAATGTTTTGTCTAAAATGGGCTTAAGGGGACATATACTGTAAGACGTAAGTGGGCTGGTTAGGCTATGGGAGAAGGAAGAGAGGGTCACAGTGATGCTCCAAGAATAAAAGTTTGATGAGAAAGCTTTACGAGCTATGGTTAGGGGTCAAGTTCATCAAATAAGTAGGTTCCAAAGAAAAGTATGTACAATCACTTTAGTCCAAGCAAAATCGTTCTTAATCCAGAAGCTAACCTGTCCAGATGCTGTGTCTGCCAGTGTGTGCCTTTGTGTAATGATTCAGAGAAGGGCATTTTGGTTTCATACTATTCCATTGCTACTTGCCCTTGCCCCATTTCTCTGTGGCATTCCCTCCCATTCATTCTTTATTCAGTTCTTTTAGGTGCCCTTTGGGTCTGTATACTTACACCAGCAGTCTCATATGTGTATGGAATGGTTATCAAATACCTGCTTTTTTGTTGGAGTCAGCTTTCGCTCCTTTAAAAACAAATAGTAAGCCTGACCTGAGCAACTTCAGAGAAGAGAACTCAGCATTTTACCCTCTATTGCTCTTTACAGGTAAACAGAATCAAAACCCCAAAACAAATAGATGAGCTGATTGAAATTGAGAGTGACACAGGAACATGGTACAGGAGGTGTTTTGTTCGGATCCACACAGAGTTGCATGGAGTAAGTAAAAAGCCTGCCCTGAACTGTTGGCCAACTTGTTGCATTGGAGGTTGTCAGAGCAGGGTCAACTAGACTAGTTCCGTGAATGGGGTTTTCCCCACCTGTGTCTAGGACACTTGACTCATGGGGTAGGACCAGGTAATAAGCTCTCCTTGGGATCATCGGGGTAACTAAGACCTTCTGTCTTTGGGAAGGGAAGGTGTTTGGCAAGGAGTCTTGGCAGTGACGTGTGCCCTGAAGGCTTGAGTTACTTTGCCCATTGGCCTCCAGGAAGCTGATAAATGAAAATTTCAATATTTGGCTTTCTATAGTCTTTGGTTTTTCCATTTTAAATTCAGATAAATCTAGTACAAAGACAACTCAACTTTTTAATAATTTTTTGGAGGACGTAGGGAGTGGATTTGACTAGATAACTATATAAGTAAACTAACTCTAATATTTTACAGATTTGGTTGACTTTTATGAGATGTTTCAACTACCCAGTCAGGGAAAATACAATAAAGCTTACAATTGTTTGGTTCACCCTATCCTTTGGGTAAGTGATATTTAAATTCCTGGTGAGTGATATCTTTAAATTTCCACACTGTAATTCTCAGTCATGCTGCTTTCTTATGCTGTTTGGTGCTGTTAACTTTTAGAAAAAAATTTTTTTCAGTCTAGATTTGCTAACAGTTATGGTTTTATAACCCAATCATCTTACTTATCTTGTCATAAAGCTGAGGTGGCAAAAGCAGTAGTATCTGAAATGTTTTATAAGACCTGGATGATTTGTCTCCCTTGACTCCTCCACCCTCCTCTCCTCACGTGCCTGGCCTCGGCCTCACCAGCCTCTTTGCTCTTCCTTGAACATGCAGGAATAACATGCTACACTTTCAGGTCAATAGGATCTTTGTGTCTGGTGGAATCCCACATTTAAACTGCAAGTTCTCTGCCTTATCCCTAAATGAGAACAGGCGATGATCAGATAGGACCGATCTTTCCCAGGGCGGTGAGCTGTAAAAAGGGACAAACGAGGGAAGCGGTGGCCGGGAGACCTAGCATCTTGTTCTGCACGTGACTTGGAGGCATTACTAAGTTTCAGTTCCTCATTTCTAGGTTGAGAGGGTTGATTTAGAATATGTAATGTAACTCCCACCCAAGTTCTAGAAAACCTATTAGTCTATGAAGGAAGAAAAGGATGAAAATTAAGATGTATTCAGAGCCTACTATGTGTTAAACTCTAGACTAGGTGTTAAGCAAGAGAAAAGTTCTCTCAAGATGTGAAGAGTTCCATAATACTTATCTGGTTTGTTTGTTTTGTTTAATAATTTATTATTGACTACATTTTAAGCTTTGTGGTTTACTTACTGATATCCCCCAAACCTCAAGCAGCGCATAGCATTTAGAAGATATTTAGTAAATACTTACTGAATAAATAAAACTGAGCTGAAACCCCTCCCCGTCATTGATTACAGACATGCTTTCTCATGGTTACTATTTTTAAAGTTTTTTGTCCTATGTATATGACTAGAGAGCAATGCTATAGATGTTGCATCTCTGAATCATTTCTTATTCAGTGGCCACCACTCATACATACATTCACAGTAATTTAATTCATGATCTATGAAATCCTGAGCCGATGATGTTTCTAGAATCCTGATGGCAATGATGATAAGACTACATATGCTATCGTTTGAGCACTCTCTATCTGCTAGATACTTTGCCTCCCATTTAATCTGAGCAACCACCCAGGAACGTGGATGCTATCGTCAGTCTGGTATTAGAGATGGGGTTCCTGGGGCTTAGAGAACTGGCTGAAAATCATACAACTTGTAAGTGGCATGGCCAGGATTCGAAACTAGTGTGCCTACCCGCAACAGAATAAGCTAGAGCAATGATTCTCCAAATCTAGTGTACATCAGAGGAATCACCTAGAGGACTCCACCCCTAGAGTTTCTGATTCAGCAGGTCTGGATGGGGCCTGAGAGTTCACATTTCTAACAAGTTCCCAGGTAATGCTGATGCTGATAGTCCAAGGACCCCACTTTGGGAACCACTATTTTAGAGGATTGTTGTCCAGTAGAAACATAATGGGAGCCACATGTGTCATTTTTAATTTTCCGGCAGCCATGCTAAAAAAAAAAAAAAAAGGAAAAGGAAACAGGTGAAATTAATTTTAATAATATATTTTACTTGACTCATTATGTCTAAAATATTATCCTTTCAACGTATAGTCAATATAACAATGATGAATGACTTCTTTTACATTCTTTTTTTTATTGGTCTTCAAATGTGATATTTTATACCTGAAGCACCTCCCAGTTTGGACTAGGCACATGTCAGCTGCTCAGTGGCACATGTGGCAAGTGGCTGCTGTACTGAGGAGCACGGCCGCGTGACTCGGCTGTTACCTGTTAGAATGACACGTTAGAGGCCAAGAGGCAAAAAGTGGAAATAACCTGGAATTTCAGAGAATCACCTGCATGGCCCTTTTCCCAGCTTTGAACTGCTTTGAGAAATGGGGCTCCACCCCCGGCTAGCAGTAGAAGAGTAGCATAGGAACCAAGAAAGAATCTCCATTCATAAAAGAGCGTCTTCTTTAAGGGCTCTCTTGGTTTTTGGACACCAGAAGTTTGTACCACCAGACTAGGAGATGCGACTCCTCGGTGCAGCCCGGGATAATGAGAAAACTTCAGGACTAGCATGCCACAGATGGGTAGAGGGTGGGATTCTTACACATGTCTCCTCCCAAATGAGGCTTCAGGAATTATATGCCTGAGGTTCTCCAGGTAACCCTAGACCATACGTCTACCTTGATTTTTGCAGACTTCATTGTGGTGGGGAGAGAGCAGCACAGATTACTGCTAGATGATTCATAATGTCTCAGGGAGCCAGTCTTCATTGGAGTACTTCCTCAGGAACCGCTCCCTCTCTGAACTTGTCAGGGAGGTGTGCATTGCCTCTGCTGTGCTGGCATCTTTACAGACTCGCATTTCTTTGTCTTTGCAGGTACTACGGGTTATCTGTTTGGTTCCCTGACGTCATTAAACACCTGCAGTCTGATGAATATGCATTACTAATTAGAAATGTGCCAAGAGAGAAATATGCAAATTTCAGTATTAACTTTACAATGCAAAATCAGATTCATACCGGAATGGAATACTACAATGGCAGGTCCAGAAACTTTGAAATAATTTAATATGCCACCTGTTCACAAAAATGTATTTCTTACTAGCCTTCGCTGCACTGAAGCATGCATAGTTTTTTGGGTTTTGTTTTTGTGGTTTTTTTTTTAGTTTGTACATTTAGTCATTTTCTGGCTGAACGGGAATACTTCCAAATGAGTGTTAAAGAAAAGGGATCCGGTACTTCACTTAAAGCTACTTCTGAAGCTGTGCTGCTTTGCCTTTATTAAGTGGTAGAATTGATTGGTATGAAACAAACATTTAGAGAGACCCTGGAGAGAAATGAAAATAAGTTGCGAAGAGAAGAATGAAGAGTGTGAGAAAAGAAAATAGGTTCTGATGTCATTTAGGTCAGAGAAGGAATCTGAAGTGTAATTTGTTGCCTGTCATCTATTTCTGAAAAAGGGGGGACCACTTTTCAGAATTCCTTTCTTCTCCATAATGCTGAATCAAAAATTGGTGTTAAATTGTATCAAAGAGTTTCAGTTAGAGAACAGGAATAATTTCCCAAAGTTAGAGCTTTGAACATAAGGAATAAGTTAGCAGAGGGTGTTTTCTAATGTAGAATCTGGAATGCCTCTTGGTGAGGGACAGAGGAAGGTGATTCTGGTTCATTCTCGCAGAAAGACAAAGGGATGGACAAGGTCATTATTTATATTCATTATTTGTTGTTTGAGCAAATAGGCGCTGTTACGAGTTTCAATGGTTTATACTAGTCTTAGGAAATTGTCCCAATTTCAAAAATGGTAAAAGTAAAAAGCTAAAATAATCAAAGTTTCCCAGGGCAAAAACCAGTTTGGAAAGATGAAAAAAAAAAAAATTCTGTGGGATACTTATGATTTGCAATGGAAAGGAGAATTACCATCTAGGAGATAATTGTTTGAATTGACAATTCAGGGAGGGGCCTAGTCCTAATCCAGCCATTCAGAATCACCTGTACTCTCCCACATAAAATCCCAGCTCAGAGCTGCACTTGGTTTTTCACAGAATTCTTAGTGTCAAGGGCTCTGTAATTCTAGGTTGGAAATTTGGTTCACTTGTTTTAAAAAATATTACTATTCCATTAGAAATTTCTAACATATGTTTGTATCTCTAACAGTTATATTTTAAGTAATATTTGTTAAAATTCTAAGATGGATATTCAATCCTAACTAAGGAATATTTTATATTAGCAATATAGTGATGAATAATTTTAATAGTATTAAAATTTTTCTAAAATGTATATTTATCTTAGAAGGTGATAGATTATTTTCTTTGAAGGAAATTTGAAATAGCACTAGCTAACTCATTTTTTAAGAAGTAGTTTTCCTGGCCCTGGCCAGTTTGGCCCAGTAGTTAGAGCATCGCCCCGCAGACCAAAGACTCACAGTTCACTTCTAGTCAAGGGCAGGTACCTCGGTTGCAGCTAGTCCCTGGCCCTGGTCGGGGTCATACAGGAGGCAGCCAGCCAATGTGTTCCTCTCATGTTGATGTTTGTCTCTCTCCCTCTCACTCTATCTAAAGATAAATAGAAAAATACCCTTGGGTGAGGATTAAAAAGAAAAAAAATCATTTTCCTGTTCAACATATAAAATGGCACCTCTTTTTGTACTGATAGGGAATAACGTTTAAGATAGACTACCAGGAGACAGAGCAAGTTGTGGAATATGCGTCTCATTTGCTAGCAGCCTCTATGCAGAATACTCTCAGAAGAGCACGAGAGAAACTGACAACAGTGGTTATCTGTGGGCACAGAACTGGGTGGCCTGAGGATAGGTCAGAAAAAATTTACTTTTTCCTTTTTCAATATTTTGAATTTTGTACCATGTGTACTCTATGTTTATATTATCCATTCAAAAAAATTGTTTGCCCTTTCTAAATTCACTTCCATTTCAGAAAAATTGATCATCTTAAAATGTACTATTACTCACCCTCCTTTAGTGGGTAAATGTACAGTTTAGATGGTTTTTCTCTGGACCCCGAATGCAGAGGGTTGACATAAGATTATTTTTTTAAGCTGATTGCTCTGTTAGGCCACAATGCATAGTCAGTCCTTAGGGTGAGAACAATTTTGAAAGTACTATTCAATAATTAGTGAATTACTTTAGGACCAGTCCCTTTCTACCCCTAATAAGAGTGGCATTTGATATCAAAACTTTTCCTTAGCTGAACAACCATTTCCTCCTGGTGACTGTCTAAGTATATATTCACGGTCTCAATAAATTACCAAGACATTGTTGAATATTTATCCATGTCTCCTGAGAGTCCTTATCAACATGCACAGATCTGAATCACAGACTCTTCTAAGATGTTTGGGTCATTATGACTGTTATCATTTTCACCACCTGGGGTTCCCCCCACAGCTGTGCATGAGCAGGTGTTATCCTTCTACAGGCAGCTCTCACAATTCCAGCTGTTTCAAGGAATACCTGTTGGGTCTGAGACAGGAAATGTTCTTGGAATGAGTGCAACCGATGAGTTTCTTGACCCCTGAGTCAATCATTCCTTATGTAAATGAAGAATTCTCATGTCCTTTCTTCAGGATAATCCCTCCACTAGAATGAAGAAGCCTTGGGTTTTGGGCTTAGGGGACAGACTTCCTTTAAAAGTGTGTATGGGAGGGCATCTTCCAGTTAGAGTCATTAACCCAGATAGAGAATTTTCAAATAAAGACATATGAAAAGGAGCAAGGAGATAGGATTGAAAAAAAAAAAATTAATGGCCACAAGTAATTTCCAGTTTTTCTTGTTTTGTTTTGTTTTGTTTTTTTTGTCCTCACTCGAGGACATTTTCCCATTTTTTTGTTCAGATAGAGTGGGAGGGAGAGAGAGAGAGAAAGAAACATCGACGTGAAAGGGACACATCGAGTGGCTGCCACCCACATGACCAACCAGGGCCGGGGACAAACTGCGACCGAGGAACACGCCCTTAGTGGGAACCAAACTCGGGTCTCTCTGGACTGCAGTCCGATGCTCTAACCGCTGAGCCAAACTGGCCAGGGCCAATTTCCAGTTTTTCTACCTGTGATTGCAAACCCCAAAAAAACTTTTACCAAGAAGCTAAGCAAAGTTCTCTGGGATGTCATCTCTTCTTCTGGGAGGCAATAATCTTGGCGAGCAGTGAATAGCCAAAGGACAGGCTGCATGGGGGCGGGGGGTGGGGGGGGGGGGGGGGGGGGGATAAGAGCTTGCAAAACCCAGAAACCAATATTCTTTATAATTAAGATGGTCCACAAAGAGGCATCTCATCTCTAAACTTGTTTGACTTAGCTTTGAACCCTGATGGACAATCATTGATACAAATTTTGTGTGTGTTGAGCAGATTCCTAGGGGTCAAGTTCAAATCTGTAACCTTCAAGGATTCGGTTTTTAAGGCCTGCACCTTTGAGGATGTGACTTCCGTCAATACCTACTTCAAAAACTGCACATTTATTGATACTGTTTTTGACAACACAGGTAGGTGTGCTACTTAGCCCTGCTGAGGCCTCTTCAGAGGGCCTGGCACTGGGCAGAAATGTGATAACCATGTGGCAGTATGGGCAGAGGCTTATGGGGGAGATGGAGGTTAAAGTATAAATGAATGGATTCCCTAAATCAGGTTGGATCAAATATAATTGTGTATTGTTTGGGTTTTTTTGTGAGATTTAGTGCAAATGGGACTTGCTGAAGTTCAAAGTTGAAAAATAAATGGTTTAGTGAATACTTTTTAAAGCAAAGAATTAACCAGTAGTTTACTTGTTTTGATAATCCTGTTTTCCAAATCTGGTGTTTGTGTAAGTCAGCCTGCCTGAACTACAGTCAGCAGAGATGGTGAACATATGGCTGATTCATGCATGTTTTAAAACAAATTGTTTCTGTAATTGTTGTATGGAAGCTATTAGCACTATCATGATAGTCCTTATATAACATGATAATTAGAACAAACAAACATCATAAAGGAGTAAACAAGTAATAAAATAAGCAATGGCCAATCAAAAGAAATCAGAGGATAACTGGATCTTTAACTTAATTTACTCCTTTTTTCAACAAAGGTATTCCTTCATAGTATTTAAAATAGTGTAGTATTTGCATAACCTACACACATCCTTCTGTATACTTTAATCATCTCTAGATTACTTATAATATCTAACGCAATATAAATACTGTATAAATAGTTGTTATACTGTATTATTAGGGAATAACAATAAGAAAAAAATGTCTGTACATGTTCCAGATGCATCTGTAATGGGCCTAACTACACAGTACATATCAGCAACAACATAATTTTCTTTTTTCCAATCCGCAGTTGTGGAATCTGTGGGTATGGAGGGCCAACCATACTTTGTAATGTAAAGTCCTAGACCCTGTACTTTGGCCAGGCAAAGACACTAAAAGTCCAACCAGCCCAGGCCTTGAAGCCCCCAAGGAGTTTACAATATGATTCCTTCCTGAATTCTCAGTAGGCTTTCTTCTACTGGTGTATAACTACTAAGAGCTTGATGAATTATCTTTCTTTATGTTCACAGATTTTGAGCAATATAAATTCATTGATAGTGAATTTCAAAACTGCTCATTTTTTCACAATAAAACGGGATGCCAGATTACCTTTGATGATGACTATAGTGCCTACTGGATTTATTTTGTCAACTTCCTGGGAACATTAGCAGTGTTACCAGGGAACATCGTGTCTGCTCTCTTGATGGACAGAATCGGGCGCTTAACGATGCTAGGTATGTGCTTAGTTTCATGTAAAATAAAAGAACTGCCCTGTAATCTAGAGGGAGCCTGTATCCCACTGTACCCTCTGCCTCTTAGGGATTTGCATCCCACAGAGACAAGAGAAAGCCCTTAAAACCATTCATTAAGACAAAATTTTAGTGAAAATTATGTCTAATTACATTTCATTTGAGCAGCTTCCATGAGTTCACAGCCTGGAAAACTAATTATGTGTGACTAATGTATATTTTTCCACCTAAGTAGCCGAGTAATTGATGATGTGAATTTCATGCTTGCTGTGTTCAAAAGGCAGTTAGAGAGGCAAACCTTTCATCCAGTTGAGCACACCCGTACCTGAGCTTTGCCAAGCCCAGCCTGCAGCTTCCCCTTGGGATTTGTGTTGCTGTGAGAGCTTGAAGACCGTAGGTCTTTGCTTTACCAAGATGACAGGAAACATCCCAGACTTTTGTCTGCTTTGTTGGCAGGTGGCTCTATGGTGCTTTCGGGGATCAGCTGTTTCTTTCTTTGGTTCGGCACCAGCGAGTCCATGATGATAGGTATGCTGTGTCTGTACAATGGATTGACCATCTCAGCCTGGAACTCTCTTGATGTAGTCACTGTGGAACTGTACCCCACAGACCGGAGGTATGTTGAAATGGGTCTCTAGGAAGAGGTACTCTGAGCCCCACGGGACCACTGAAGAGTCATAGAAAATAAACCAAATGGTCATGTTTCCAAGAAAGCAAAAATCCCAAACTATCTGGCATATGAAGTTGTAAGTTTCACATGTATATATAGTTTTTTAAATGTTGGGGAATATAGTTGCTAGCAGGAATTAATAGGACAATTGTTACCGGCAATGTGGGCTCTCAGTTCTTGACTTTGTGCAGGAAAGATTTCACAACACAAGTCCAGGTGGTTTTGAAAGTATGTGTATTAAAGCTTGGGACAGTGAAACAAAGTAAGGGCTAAGATAAAAAAAAGCAAGATCATAGCAGCAGAAGTGAGCCTAGGGGTGGCTACACTGGTCCTTTAGAAGGAAAGTCACAGAGACAGAAGAAATGAGCTAGCTGGGTAGCATGGATTCAGGAAACAAGTTACTGAGGCAAAAGAAGGGCCCTTGGAGAAAGAGAGCAAAGACACACACCTTAGGAAAGAAGTGGCGGGGGCTGGGGAGGTTCAGCTGTGCTTGAGTGAGGGGGGGGGCTGGGTCCTTTGTCTTAAGGGTTTTTAATCTGCTTTTATTTATTTATTTTTAATTATTATTTTATTTTATTTTATTTTTGTTACAGATGTTTCTCCTTTTTTACCCCATTGTCACCCTCCTCCCCATCCCCCCTGCCTCATCCCCGGCTTTGTTGTCCATGTCCATTGGTTATGCATACATGCGTATAAGTTCTGTGGTTTATCTCTTGCCATGCCCACCACCCTCTCTTCTGAGGGTTGTCAGTCTATACCCTACTTCCATGTTTCTGGGTCTACCCTATTCCTCAGACTGTTATATTCATTATATTCCATATATAAGTGAGATCATGTGGTACTTGTCTTTTTCTGCTTGGCTTGTTTCACTTAGGATAATACTTTCTAGGTTCCTCCATGTCATCTCAAAGGATAAGTGATCTTTTTTTCTTACAGCTGCATAGTACTTCATTGTGTATACGTACCACTGCTTTTTTGTCCATTCGTCTACTGATGGACATTTGGGCTGTTTCCAGATCTTAGCTATTGTAGATAGTGCTGCTATGAACATGAAGGTACATATATTCTTTCTGATTGATGTTTCAGGCTTCTATGGGTATATTCCTAGAAGCGGGATCACTGGGTCAAATGGCAGTTCAATTTTGAATTTTTTGAGGTAACACCATATTGTTTTCCATAGTGGCTGCACCAGTCTGCATTCCCACCAGCAGTGTACTAGAGTTCCCTTTTCTCCACAACCTCACCAACACTTGCTGTTTGATGATTTGTTGATGGCGGCCATTCTGACAGGTGTGAGGTGATACCTCATTGTTGTTTTAATTTGCATCTCTCTGATGATTAGTGATGTTGAGCATTTCTTCATATGTCTCTTGGCCGTTTGTATGTCCTGTTTGGAGAGGTGTCTATTCAGCTCCTCTGCCCATTTTTAAATTGGGTTCTTTGTCTTCCTTTTGTTGAGTTGTATGAGTACTCTATATATTTTGGAAATTAACCCCTTATCTGATGTGTCATTGGCAATGATGTTCTCCCATACAGTGTGTTGCCTTTCCATTTTGATTATTCTTTCTTTTGCTGTGAAGAAAAGCTTTTTAGTTTGATATAGTCCCATGTGTTCATTTTTTCCTTTGTTTCTGTCACCTTAGGTGATGTATCAGTGAAAATTCTGCTGCGTATGATGTCCGAAATTTTGATACCTACATTTTCTTCTAGAATTTTTATGGATTCAAGGGTCACATTTAAGTCTTTTATCCATTTTGAGTTTATTTCTGTGTACGGTGTAAGTTGATGGTCTAGTTTCATTTTTGTGCATGTAGCTGTCCAATTTTCCCAACACCATTTATTAAAAAGGCTGTCTTTACTCCACTGTATGCTCTTGCCACCTTTGTCAAATATTAATTGAGCATATTGCCTTGGGTCCATTTCTGGGTTCTCTGTTCTGTTCCACTGGTCTATATGCCTGTTCTTGTGCCAGTACCAGGCTGTTTTGATTACGGTGGCTTTGTAGTATAACCTGATATCTGGTATTGTGATCCCACCTACTTTGTCCTTCTTTTTCAAAATTGCTTTGGCTTTTCGGAAACTTTTTTGGTTCCATATGAACTTTTGAAGCATTTGTTCTAGTTCTGTGAAATATGTCGTTGGTATTTTTATGGGGATTGCACTGAATCTATAGACTGCTTTGGGTAGTATGGACATTTTAATGATGTTAATTCTTCCAATTCATGAACAGAGTATGTGCTTCTACTTTTTTATATCTTCCTCTATTTCCATTTTCAATGTCCTTTAGTTTTCTGCAAATAGGTCCTTTACTTCTTTGGTTAAGTTTACTCCTAGGTATCTTAATTTTTTTGCCGCGATGATAAATGGGATTGTTTTTTCAGTTTCTCTTTCTGTGAATTCATCATTGGTGTATAAGAATGCCATCGATTTCTTGATGTTAATTTTGTATCCTGCTACTTTGCCAAATGCATTGATTAAGTCTAGTATATTTGTGATGGAGTCTTTAGGGTTTTATATATAATATCATGTCATCTGCAGATAATGACAGTTTCACTTCCTCCTTTCCAGTTTGGATCCCTTTTATTTTTTCTTCATGTCTGATTGCTGTGGCTAAGACTTCCAGTACTATGTTAAATAAGAGTGGTGAAAGTGGACATCCCTGTCTTGTTTCTGCTCTTAGGGGAAATGTTTTTAGTTTCTGCCCATTGTGTATGATGTTGGCTGTAGGTCTTTCATATATGGCTTTTATTATGTCGAGATATGATCCCTCTATTCCCACATTGCTGAGCATTTTTATCAGAAATAGTGCTGGATTTTGTTGAATGCTTTTTCAGCATCTATTGATATGATCATATGGTTTTTATTCTTCATTTTGTTTATGTGGTGTATCACATTTATTGATTTGCGAACATTGTACCAGCCTTGCATCCCTGGAATGAATTCCACTTGGTCACGGTAAATAATTTTTTTGATGTATTTTATCTGTTTTTAAAGGCAGGAATTTTAGAGGAGTTCTCAAAGGGAGGATCACAATAGAATATTCATCAGCCTTCCAAGTGTGTTCCTTCAGGGTTGTGGTCCCTACTGATTGGTCAGTTCCAGAGTAGGGAGTCATTAGTCAATATCAGCCAAGGCTCACTTTCTGTGGTTTTGCTGCTTTTCTGGGCCTGGAGCTGAAACACAACTGAGGCCTAGGTGTTATCTCTAGTTTGACCAAACGTCTGTCTCTGTGGTCAACAGACTCAGGCTTTGTTCCTAAGATTATTTGATGCTGATCAGAACCTCATCATCCTGAGGTCTTAGTGATTAAGGGAGTGGACATCCAAGGGAGAAGGAGGCAAGTGAGTCAGGGTGCTGGGTGAGGTCAGTTTAACTCAGCCACCTGTCTCAGTTTCCCCATTTACTTGCCAAGGAATATTCCTGGCTTCTTCCTATCCTGCCTCACAATGAAACCAGTGAGGGAATGTAATTGTGTCCACGACTTAGTTTGCTGACTAACAGTGTGGAGAAGCTATAATATGCGGTGAGTTAAACAGCCTGTCTTGGCCCACATTTTGAGCCACTAATCAGTCCTGAGAGGGTCCTTACTTTATGTTTGCAAGTGTCTGCATGAACTCTGCATTAAGCACCATGAAGAGGTCTTTAAGAAGTATCTCTTGGAGGGAGGGGCTGCCGCCTCTCCCCAGGGCCCTGGGAAGGAGTAAGATGACCACAGTCCTGTGTGGCTGCACTCAGCAAAAGCTCTGAGCACCCTCCAAATCCCGAGTGAGCCCACACAGTTCCAGTCCAGTCTTATTTTAAGCAATTTAATTTAATTAAAAAAAAAAAGAAGAAGAAGTATCTCTTGGCTTTCCTGGTATATTGGAAAAGACAACTATTAGAAGAAAATGTTGTGTCTTGTCCCAAAATGGAGACACAGAGGCTTTGCACCTGATATCAGAGAACGGGCTAGAAGGGATTTGGGGTAGAGCTTTAGCAGCTGAATAATTAAAAGAATAGAAGTCCCGTTTTGTCATTTGACATGAGTTGAAGACAGTGGCCTTGCCTTCTTGTGTTCCGTATATGCTTTGTCACCACGGAAACCCTCTCTACTGGAGAACAGTCAGTATTGTCTGGACTTTGAAATGGAGGAGGGTTTTCTCGGGCTGAGCAGAGACATTTGGAATATCAATTTTCAGCTGTTGTTGGAAAGGTTAACCATCAACTAAGATGAAACAGAAATTGCTGTTTATGTTGGTTCAGGTCTTCCAAGACACAGAGATCAAGATGGGACTAAACATGTGCAGATTTGATTCGGGCAAGTGCATGTGTGAGAACATGGGGGAGGGGAAGTCCGGGACAGCCACCGTGCAAGCCTGAGCTCAGTGAAGGAGCCAGGATGGGCGGTTGGTTGGAAACATCCCAGACCAGCAATCTAAGAAAGGTTTGACAAGGCTGCTGGTGGGAAGAGGAATGACAATGTCAGCTTCAGAGGAGTCCTGCGTGTCTCAGGAATGAGCCTGTCATTGTACTCCGTCATGTTCACGTATTGGAACAGCAAGACGTGGTGGTGAATTTCAGAGCGCGGGAGCCAGGCAGGGACTCGGAGGTCTGTAAGGTGCATTCTCCTGCAGCCACACGGCTGGTGGCTGCCTTCTCCAGCACGGCCACGGATGTTACCAGATAACACGCAGGTCATCACCTCCTTCGATGATCAGAGCTAACTTGTCTTCCAAAGCAGCACTGTGGAGGCTCTGGTGATTTAGCTGGTACCACCTACTCTGTTTCAGGCTAAAACCTCTTCTTTCTCAGCCGTGTTGCTCTGGGTCAAATTAGGAGGCCTCCGCTGAACTCTAGCTCTGCTGTTAGAGGAAAACCCCAGTGGTTTTATATGCAAATACCCTCTAGTCTCTGTGTGGAGACAGAATAGAAGGTGTCCTGACAAGAATTCTGTTAAAGGCTGTAAT